CAGCAAAGTATTCATTTAATACTTACTTTATACTATTCCCACAGACATGCCAATCAACTGCTTTCCATCTCTCTGAGGTCACTTTCCAACTCTTAGGGCTCTGACTTTTTCCTGTTACTCACCTTTATTGTGTACACTTTTTACAATGTGTGGGAGAGAAACTCCCTCTGGAGGGAACTTTTCGATGTTTGCCTTTGCAGACCATTTACTTGCACAAAAACGTATTGAATACAGGGGAAAAACGAAACATACTAGGGCCTCTTAGTCTTTAATCATTTATTTTAGCATCCTTTTCTTTTTACATCATAAGATAAGATAGGCTTTTATTGATCCCGGTAGGGAAGTACACGTGTTATAGCAGCAACAGAATAAGAGGGAAACACAGAGAACACACACAACCAAGTGTAAAGAATAAAACATGTCATACTGGGATTATGGATTATAATTCTTGTATGTGTAAACCTACTTGGCAACAAACCACTTTCTGATGTTGCTTAGTTGTCAAGTTCTCTCCATTTCTCTTTCCTCTGCTGTGTTTGTTTTGCATGCTGCTTTTGTTCTGCAGGAGCAGAGCAGAATCCCTGGACTATTTTTAACATCCAACAAGTACAATATGTCACAAGCAACAGGATCACTCTCTGTGAAGACACTCAGGTGCCTCAGTGAATGCACACATTAAATGCACAGTGTTTCCCATACATTTATTTGTGGATCTCTTATAAAAACAAAAACAATAATAATAATAATTATCATTATTTTTCTTCTTTTGGTGGTGGTCTAGTGAGGTGGGCTGATGATCGGAAGGTTGCGAGTTCAAATCCCGCCTGGAACACCACTACTACTGTGCCCTTGAGTAAGGCCCTCAGTTACTCCAGGGAGAACGTCCCTGTAATTGGTCATTGTAAGTCGCTTTGGAATAAGGCGTCTGCTAAATGCCTAAATTGTAAATTATATTTTTGGGAGAATAAACCCCACAGATCCTCAACTCCGGTGTGTCACTCATTAACAACGCAACACAGAGCAACAAGAACGTTGTCTACAGTAGCCATGAACTCACATGTATTTTCGTGTGGGCCACCCGAATAGGTTTAGGGGCCTTTGGCTTTTCTTGCCGGGAGAATCAAATTCTGTGGGAAACACTGATGCAGCACTACTCGGCTGCTGCAGAGAACAAAGGACAATGTCAACTGAAAGGACACAAAATACAGCTTAAAGTACATGAAGAGCTGTCAAGAGATGCCCACACCAAGGGCAACTGGAAACAGAACAATGCGAGCATCGACTTAGAAAAGTTCAAAATGACGATGCTGCTCAGTTTCGGGCTGACCAGAGCACATTCATCTTTACAAGCAGGTAGTCTTGAGGATCTGTATCATCTATTGTCAAAGCAGCTGCAAGACAGCAAATATAACCGTCTACAACTGAGCCGTGGACATGCGAGCTGTTCAGAAACACTTCACAGAGCACTCACTGACTCTGTAGTTATTTAAAGTGACCTTGCAGACACGGAGCTTTGTATTTCATCAGCAGCGTGAAGTAGCGAGCCAAGACACAGCCCAAGAAGAGAAATGGTCAGAGCAGTTCCAAATACAGCATAAACACATGTTCACTATGTTGACTTTCAGAGTAATGCCAACACTGGGTAATGGTCTCATATCCATATTCTATTCCTGAGTATGTGCTCTTAAGTCTCCACTCGGAACTGAATGTATCAGTCACTTGTGATAGCAGCTGTTGTTGACAATGAAGAATTAATAAGTGACCCTCCTTAGTGTTTGCTCTCATAATGTTATTACTCCACATAGTCCTAACCGTCCGACTGGAGTGGGCAAATTGAATTAAGCAGCATTTAAAATACAATTAGTTAATACAAATGTTGCCAAAATGTGTGATAAACGGTTTTTCACAAAGCTCCTATAATATAGAAAATGTTTTTTGGGCCAGTGAAATTGTGTTTGAGATCCCTAATTTCCATCTTGTAAATATTTAATTGACTTCCCTTACTAAACACAAAATGTCTATAAACATAGACATGTCTGCGTGGTCCCACGTCCCTAAAACAAGAGGTGGACAGGGACAGATACTGGCATTAATGTCACACAAATCCTGAACACTATGGATATTAGTATGATTACACAATTACATTACATTGTAGCTTAACATCCTACCAAGACGAGCTGCTTCAGAATCTCTGAGCTTTTCACAGGTAATAGGCCTAAAACAAGGTTATTATGAGCTTCAATTACAAACGGAAGATGAAACGAAAATCTTCACTAAAATGTTCTTTAATGAACATAAATAAAAGTGAAACTTGGCCACTGACACATGTTATAATTAATTTGACACACTTGTCAGTTCAGTGAGGTACAGTATGAGGAGGTTCATTGATAACCACTATGAATTACCAGAACATAGTAACTGTCAAATGTACAGGTACATCTGAATAGAAAGAAGAAACTTGAATCCTTTTTATCCATGTACTTTTGCTTTTAATGTTTAATTGACAGCACTGTAACTTTTATCCATGTTTTTTTTGTTTTTTTTCTTTTAATGTTGATTTTATTAGCTTTTCTTTTTAATGACTGATTTTAAATGCCATTTTCTTAATCTCTTTCATTTTTTGTAAAGCACTTTGAATTGCCTTGTGTTGAAAAGTGCTATATAAATAAACTTGCCTTAGACCAAAAGCTCGAAACCATCATTACTTTCAAAAATCACTCTAAATAATAATTCATATCAGATAATTCAACAACTTACATGAGTTTTGAAAATGGAGAAACAGCAGCTTTTGGCTAGACCCTAAACTAGATTTAAAGGTAGCCTGCAAACCCATATTCTCCTGCACAGAGCAGCCTGTCAGTTTTGTGGAAAGTAGCAAAGAATGGCTTTCAATCAGAGCAGAAATGCAGTTAAAAGAGACAGAATAATGGGGAGGGCTACGAGTCTGCAAACCAAGACCCTGAAGAACGTCTCCTCTCACACAGAGGAAAGGGAAGGGGAAACTAAAAAGAATGTACTAAAGAAATGTGATGTCTGTGATGAGATTACAGCAAATACTTTGTAAACTGAGCCGGTGCACCTAATCAATATGCTGAATCCTGCGTATCAGAAACAGCCAGATACGATGCAAATCAGATTATGCATGTTCAAATCGCTTTTAAATGTTGGGGTCAACGACTACATTTGAATGAAGGGGCAATATTTGCTGAATATATTGTACTTTTAGAATATTGCATTGTGTTTTCCATAACTCTTCTTGTATTATTCAGAGAGCCTTCTGAACACATGAAATAGCTTCTGGTCTTGGAGTTGATGGACCATAAATACCACACAGGCAGCGTTGTGTTATTTTCATTTTCACAGCACACACTGAAAGACTTTCAGATGTGCGCTAAACATGACATGTTACTGATGTTATATACACTAAGGACTCAGATCATGCATTGTTTACAGCCAAGATCACAGAACACATAGGAAATGCTATTATCAAATTGATGGTCAGAAAATCACACTGAAGAATATGATCTTTTCTCAAAAAATATTATATTCATAATGTTTGCCTCCAATCAACACTAGATAGCTTTAACAGCTATACTGTAGCCCCAACACACATTGTAAGATATTCTCTTCTATACAATAAAGATAGATAAATAGATAGAAACCCATCTAAAATATATAGGCTGACTGAACACAGATTCTTCTGATCTGAGATGTATGTATGATCATTCATTCACTTAACCATTCATTTATTAAGTACATTTTTATATTATATTCATAGGTTTTGATATTAACAGCAGAAGTCAAAGCAAATATACATGTATTACATAATTCATGTGTTGCATATGCTAAACTATAACTGAACGTGCTCTGGAAGCTTCACAGCTGGAAAGGCAGAGCCCCGGCTAAAAGCAGACACACACACATAAGAACATACACACACACATACACACACACAGGTTACACGGGTCCTTACCTCGGGCTATGCTGCAGAGACACACACAGATAGAGTGTCAGGAGACAGCAGCGTGTCCCCTCACTCGGTGCTCTGTGCTGGTGCTTACAGGCTCCTGAAGCTTCTGAGCTAGCCTACTGAAGCTACTGGCTATTGAAGCTAGCCTACTGAAGCTAGCTGTCACAGAGAGAGGCAGCAGATGCCTGGATACCGCCGAGAAAATCCCGCGGTCAGGTCTCGCGATGACACTCCGAGGGTGCCACTGATAATGCATTTTGTGCATATTTATCAAGAAAAAGAAACGTAGCGATACCACACTACAGTTGTATGTAGCCTAAAAAAACGTGTTTCTTTCATCCGATAAAGCGGGTTGTGTGTTCTGAAGACGTTTATTCAAATACTCTTAAATGCAGAGATCAATCAATTAATCAAATGATGTGACTAAAATGTGAATTAAATCCAGACTGTAGACTGTAATAAATCCATCTATGATCTACCGTTTACAATACATTGAGGGCCAAGTTCAAAGAAAAATATATTGAAAAATATTAGATACTAATCATCAATCAATCAATCAATGTTTATTTATATAGCCCAATATCACAAATGTTACATTTGTCTCAGTGGACTTTACAGTTTGTACAAAATATCAGTATGACAATACGACACCCTCTGTCCTTAGACCCTCACATCGTACAAGGAAAAACTTCCGAAGAAAACCCACAGTTTAAAGGGGAAAATGGGAGAAACCTCAGGGAGAGCAACAGAGGAGGGATCCCTCTCCCAGGACGGACAGACGTGCAATAGATGCCGTGTGTAAATTGAAAAGATAATACATTTGCAACATAGGTAGTCCAAATGTTTGGAAATGCATGTGTGTATAATAGGAAGATGAATCCACGAGGATATCCATCCAGGACCTATGATCCAGGACCACAGCCACGACTCAAGATCCAGGACCACAGCCACGACTCAAGATCCAGGACAGAGGAGCGCAGGATCATCCATGACTCCGGATCCCGGCGTATACAGACACCAAAAAGAAAGACATTTGGGGAAGCTGGGTTAATCGGAACATGAGAGTACACAGGTATAGACAGAGAGAAGGAAGAAGTAAGATGTCCCCCGACAAACTAAGCCTATATCAGCAAAACTAGGGGCTGAATCTAATCAGCCCTAACTATAAGCTTTATCAAAAAGGAAGGTCTTAAGCGCACTCTTAAAAACGGATAGGGTGTCTGCTGCCCGAACACAAACTGGAAGCTGATTCCACAAATGTGGAGCTTGATAAGAAAAGGCTCTGGCTCCCATTGTACTTTTAGAGACTCTAGGAACAACCAACAACCCTGCATTCTTGGAACGCAATGCCCTAGTAGAACAGTAGGGTATAATGAGTTCTTTAAGGTAAGATGGCGCCTGCCCATTAAGGGCTTTGTAGGCGAGAAGAAGAATTTTAAATGATATCCTGTGTTCTATAGGGAGCCAGTGTAAGGCAGCCAGAACAGGAGTAATGTGGTCCCTTTTCCTAACTCTGGTTAGTACACGAGCTGCAGCATTTTGAATCAGCTGAAGCGACTTGACTGACTTCTTGGTACACCCTGATAATAAAGAGTTACAATAATCCAGCCTTGAAGTAACAAATGCATGGACTAGTTTCTCTGCATCGTTTTGAGGCAAGATATGCCTGATTTTTGCAATGTTACGTAGATGGAAGTAGGCGGTCCTTGAAATTGATTTTATGTGGGCGTTAAAGGATAAATCCTGATCAAATATAACACCAAGATTCCTTACAATCATGTCATGCAAAAAGTGATTAAGGAAAAACAGCTTTGTGAGAAATACATTGAGAAAACATGTCTTATTCCTCTCACTAGATGTCACTAGACGCTTTTTTTTGGGAAGACCAAGCTGGCTACACTGTCCCTCAATTATCACTTGCACACACATGTATGGGCCTAGAAATTGCGGAATAAAACCAAAATACTTAAGTAGGGTTTTCACATCGCCTGCTATTCAATAATAGGGTATTTGGGCGATGTATTACACGTCTTGCTTATCTCAAAACACAATAATGCAAAACTGACTTTCATTAATGCAACAAACCATTACTTTTTTAATTAGATACAAATTCTACCGTAAATAATGTGTTGAGTAAATATGGAATGATGTTTTCAGCAACCGTTTTTGTTTGACGTCAGAGCAGAATGCCGTTGGCGATGCTCTCGTGTTGCTTTCCAGTGTTCCTTGTAAGGACCTGACTCTAAATGTCTACAATTTGTCCCGCCAGAAAACGCTTTTCATTAACAATAAGAAGACACATATTTTCTCTCGCTTTAGTTTTTTCTGAAAAATCCCAATTTATGGTAGATTGCATGGCAACATTATAAAGGTTAATTATGATTTAATTCATCTATTAAACATATGTGATGCCCATATCTTCAACAGTGGAAATCATTTGTATTGGTCCACAGTTTGACGGTTGTAAATATTTCGACACTGTTTTCAGCCCATGAAGGCATCACCACAGCCCCAGTCGGCTGGAAGGATACACGGATCAGGCTGCCGCTGCCAGCTATGCAATGCCTCCTTTTACACATGAACCCTGGGCATAGGCACCTTCTCAGTGCCGCGGTCAACCCCTCGTATTCTCTCATCATTTTCGACAAGCTTCTGTAGAGAGCTCCCAAAGGACCCAGGATACCCGGTAGAGACTGGACCAGGGGCGTTATGTTTACCGAAGCAAAGCTGGAGAGGTGAGCTGAGCGAGTAACTTTAGCTTGCTACATGCTAGGTAATCCGGATAGCTGTGTGATACCTGTGTACCTGTGTGGCCAGCGCCTTGTTTCACAGCTAGCTAAACATGTTTGTGTATACATTAGTGTGGCTTTGTAATGAATAAAGGCAACCTTCTAACGTTAAAGAGCGAAAGCAGTTAACGTTAGTCACACAGTGAGCTAACGTTAATCAATCAATGGACAACGAGCTAGCCCATGTAACGTCAGGCTAAAGTGTGCTACCGCCGGTCGGGGCCCGTCATGCAGCTGACTTCTGCCAACTGTAGTATATGAAACTCCGCTCGAAACAAGTAGCTTGCTGTGCTTGGACAACTGGAAGCCTTATGTAGTTAAGACAAGTTTAACGTGGTTCATTGTAGCAGCACGATACAGCAGGCAGGACAAATGAGCTAACGTTAGTGTGGCAGCCATTCTGTGAAAACATGACAGATGCATATGATCACAATAACATTATTATGCTCAGTGTAAGGGAGGGTCTGCTGCATTCATATTATATTTGAAATCTTTCAGTGTGCTGAACATTTCCATTTGGACTCCTTTTCAGTTTAATTGCCAGCTTTGCCTATATGTATGTAGTCATTGTTTATTGAAACTGTTGTCATTTCATTTCATAAAGGCAGCTGGAGCCATGGGTTTTTCCATCCACCTTCGATGAACTGAACTAAGCTGGACCCAAACAACTCAGCCAACCTGACCCGGCCTACAGGGGGGACCCTCCTCTCCCCATCGCCCTCTCCAGCTATGGCAGGCTTCAAGCGGGGCTACGATGGCAAGATTGCTGGGCTATATGACCTGGACAAGACGCTGGGCCGTGGCCACTTTGCCGTGGTCAAGCTGGCACGCCACGTCTTCACTGGGGAGAAAGTGGCAGTGAAGGTGATCGACAAGACTAAGCTAGACACCGTTGCTACAGGCCACCTCTTCCAGGAGGTCCGCTGCATGAAGCTGGTCCAGCACCCCAACATTGTGCGCCTGTATGAAGTTATAGATACTCAGACTAAGCTTTACCTCATCTTGGAGCTAGGGGATGGTGGGGATATGTTTGACTACATCATGAAACATGAGGAGGGTCTGAATGAAGAGCTTGCTAAGAAATATTTTGCCCAGATTGTCCATGCTATCTCCTACTGCCATCGGCTGCACGTGGTGCACAGGGATCTTAAGCCAGAGAATGTGGTGTTCTTTGAGAAACAAGGGCTCGTCAAGCTCACCGACTTTGGATTCAGCAACAAGTTTCAACCGGGGAAGAAGCTGACGACCAGTTGTGGATCTCTGGCATACTCCGCCCCGGAAATACTGCTGGGTGATGAGTATGATGCTCCAGCCGTAGGTATGCAAAACATGTAGGCTGATGAATGATGCAAAAGTGAAGTGAGTGTTATTTAGAAAATAATAATAGATAGGATGCAGTACTACCAGATTGGATTCTTGAAGGGGCCATATTATGCTTATTTTCAGGTTCATATTTGTATTGTGCTACTTTAATGTTCAAAAGCTCTTTATTGTTCTCATACTGTCTGTGCTGCAGCACCTCTTTTCACCCTCTGTCTGAAACCAGAGCCCAGTCTGCTCTGATTGGTTAGCTGGCCGGCTCTGTTTAGAGATGTCCCGCCCCTAGCCTACCACGTTACTTAGTGATGTCTTTGTGTTATGAAAGTAAACAAAGGGGTCCAATCGAAGCGTTTCGATTCAGTCTGTGGGAGAGAAACTCCCTCTGGAGGGACCTTTGGATTTGAGTCTTTGCAGATGCACGAAAACCTACATAACACACCGGGAAAACGAAACCTCCCAAAAAGCACAATAGGGCCTCATTAACTAGTCCTTTGTGTAAGCCCTTTTCGTAGTGTGGCCACTTTATGCTTTCGCACAGAGACAGTTGTGGTTGTTTTTTGATCTTTAATGATTCAGAGTTTATTTAAAGTCTGATGGAGCAGAATTGTCACACATGGCACTAACATCATGTCACTGTGTTAAAAAGCAAGCTTTTGGCATTATCAAAGTCATATTAAAGCCAGCTTCAGCACCGTGGAGTTAGCACCTGTTTGACACATTTGTGTGTGCTAGTTTGCTTCCAGGGCCTGACCACTAGTTCTGTTGGCCAAGCTTTGCTTTGTGTTTTGATTGCCTACACGTCAAACAGCAATCCATCACATGCCAGACCCCTGTGCAACAGCATATGAGTTGGACTTGTTTTAAAGATCAAGCTGTGGAAAGCTTTACGATGCTAACAGCCATTGACGCTGGTCATTTTGCAGGCGGCCAGTGGCCATGTACAACCAGGTCAGCTCTTTTAGCACTGATGTGTTATGGGTGTCTCATTGCTCTAAATGAACTGGCTCATTGATTTTCTCTGGGCTTTGACAGAGTGCAGACAAACAGATTGTGTGTCCTTCCATACTGATATGACATATATCATATTGGTAGCTTAACTGATGGCATAACATGAGACCAAGGTCCAGGTCTGGAATGGGATTGTGAGGTGTGTTGAGTTAAGCTTGTTCTCTCGGGCCCGTGTGGTTGTTCATGTGGTGTTAATGCTGCACCAATATGTGTCTGAGTAGAAGTGATATGATTGTTTATGCGCAGAGAAAAAACGCCATCAGCTTTACCTCAGCTTTACCTCACCCTAGAGCTAAAGGATGGAGGAAATGCCGGGAAACATGAAGAGGGGGGGAATTGGGAGGCGTGTGGTGCAGTGGATAGTGCGTTGGTGTTGGGACCAGGGGGACACAGGTTCAAACCCCACCGCAGTCAGCATGTCGTTGCGTCCCTGAGACACTGCACCCCGAATGGCTCCTGTGGGGATTGCCCACGGTGCTGAGTTAGTCGCTTTGGATACAAGCCTCTAACAAGTAACATGTCATGTCAAATGAACTGCTGGATGATGGGTGTTGTTGCTGCTGCAGGTTCTCTTCCAGAAGTTTCTTATTGTATTGACCTATGAGCTGTGACATGAGGCAATAGATTTGTGATATTATATATTTTTGATGTATAGTTAAAGTATTTAAATAACTGGTTCCCGTTTGGGGAAAAAGGCAGGTTGTTCTCTTCTTATCTGGCTGTAAATACAAGAGAAGACTCGTCTATTATTCCATGACTTTACTCACGGCTTTCATAGTGTTGGTATCGTGTCAACACTGTGGCCAATTACAAACTTACATTCATAACATTAGGATATGTCATGGAAACGCTAAGTGTTCACACACAAAGAAAAACTGTGTTGTGCAATCCCCCAAACCCTTTATCACACAAACTAGCCTTTTATTGAAATATTTGCAATATAGATATATTTCTTAATTCAGTTGTGATATGTGATATAACACAGCGATTTTATAATGAAACATCTGCAGGGTCTATATTGTAAACAGATGATAAGTTGTATGTAGCTGTGTGATAAGGCTTTTGCATCTAGGTATTAGTAGTGGACCACCATCTGCACGGGCTGTGCTAAGAGGCATCTACCACCCTGCACACAGTGGTGTTGGTGGTCTGTGTCTGCAGCTCACTATACTCATGGAGCTGAGCATAGCGCTGCTTTTGACAAAGCTCTTTCACCTGTAGTTCTCTGTTCTAGTGGTCTGTCGAGTAGGCATGGCCATTTTTGATATATTATGACTATCATTTTTTCAGTTTCAGGGCTGAGGGAAATCATTATTAGAAGCGCAGGGACTGAATCTTAATTTGTGCCAGAACAAGCAGCAAAGACTCATTTATTTTTCTCCACACAGTAAACGACATCACACACAACTAATGAATGTGTAACATACGACAAAATAAGTAAACAATCATTTGAAAAAGGTTTATTTAGTAAATGCTGGTGAGCTTAGGGGAGCGTTCTCATGTATTTCTATCATGCCAGTGGCCTCCCGTCCACCACTGTCTGCTCCTCCCAGTCCATCTGCATTGCACTGCTCCCGTCTCCTGCCTTCTCTTCTTCACCAGTCTTCACTGAGACCTGCTGCTGCTTGTCTTTCTTTCTGTGAGGAGACTACGTGCATGCTTCAGATCAGGAGTCATGTTTCAGGTTGACATGTGAAAGGCCCTTTTCTGCCTGCAGAGTTTTGCACGTCACCTTCTTGGGGTTTTCTTTACACAATCCCACACTTTGGATTTCCTGCCCGACCTAATAAACGTAATGACCTGGAACAGCTCCAGTATAAGTTTGAGGGCTTTTCCAGCTGACGCCACAAAGCTCAGACTGATAGACTAATCAACATTGCTCGACTAAGACTTTTAAATTGACAAAAGTTAGATTAAATTAAGAGGCCGCTCTAGCTGAGCACGACTTTAGTGGGCCAAACACTTTGCTCTCTGCCAGGGAGCTGTCCTGAGTGTGGTGTGCTTTGGCGCTGCTTGTAATTGCAGTGGTGCTGCTTTTGGTTGTGCTGTGCAGCAGTGGTTGGGTTGAGAGCGCTCTGGTAATGCGTGGTGTGTGCATTACGGAGCAGGTTAGTGACGTTTTGCACACGCTCTTGTGGGCTTTGTGATGTTGTGGCCAGAGCCATGTGACACTGTGAGGTACATGAGATGCAGCCCAGGCACTTTTTGTCTGCCAGGCTTAAAACAGATAACCGATATAACAGGTCTGTCTGCATTTTATAAGTCACAGTGGTGGCAGGATAACCTTCAATGCAGTCTGTGACCATTTGTAGTTTGATCACTGAAAGTTATCAATTAGGAACTGTTAGTGCAGACAGCAGGTTGTATCTTGTATTAAGTCGTCGACATGTTATGCTTTAGGCACTCTTTAGCTGATGGAAAGTCCTTGACTTCCTGTTTACATATATCTGTTGATGACTCATACGAACATCTTTCCTGTGCGTCCTGCAGAGATGTTTGGCAGCCCTTGGCGTCTGCACTAGAGAGCATCAGAAACTCGTCCTTCTCTTAATTGCAGCCCTGCTTTTTGTCACCTGCTGCCAGTAATTGGGAAGAACAGTTAACCCATCTTCTTGTGTGGACTGGGCCAGGAGAGGATGGTAGCGAGGCAGGATGCAGCCGCTACACAGCTGTGTGTTGCTTTGATTAGAGCCCACTCATCTGTTTTCCTCCAGTGGGCCTTATTATCTGGTCCACAGCATCTTGGGCAAAGTGTCAATGCAGGACGTCCTCAACAGCACAGGGACCCTCTCGGCGCAATTCTTGTCGGCACATTTTAGTGCAAGGCTTTTGTACACAGAGGTGTGCTCTATGTGCTGCATACCTCAGCATGTCAGACTGACTGACTGAAGGCGTGTTCATGGACAAACCGGTCCATCAGGGTTTCACTTATCACACTTATCATCTCTCTCCCTCTCAGCCAGTATGGACAGTAGAAACTTCATGTCACTGTCGTCTTCACAACAAAAAAGGCCTTTAATGCTCGTTTGACAGTGATTGGCCAATATCTATCTTTATTTGCTATGTGACTAATGACTGCATTAGAGCTAGATGCTCGAGCTGGATCATACATACACAATGCATGATTGAGCAACTGTTTATTGGCTTAAACTTTGCAGGAGATATTCTAAATTGAACGTGTCACTAATTAGTTTGACGTCTTTTAACCCATAACCTTTGGCCAAAAATATGTATCATGATCAAATGTTTTGAAAGCACATAAATCCCATGTACATCAGGAGCATTCAGCCCTATGACATCTGTGCTTCCTGTATGTAGCGGTGTGCTTCAGTCACAAATTCTTGATCGTGTCGAACAACAACGTCTGGGTGTCCATACTAAGCAGACACATCAATTTCAAGCATGAGAAAGCAGTAAAAGGCAAAGGTTACCTGATATGCCTCTGCATTACGGTGTGTGGGAAAGAGTGGTTAGGAAAGCCGAGGACGCACGCTGGCTGAGAGCGCAGATGGGGAGCTGTCAGCGAGTCAAAGCCTGAGGCAGACAGACGGAGACAGATACTACGTGTGGGGTGGCAAAGGTGAAAATCACTCGGTCTCTGGACTTGAGTACATGCACTTGATTTCATGATGGTGACAACATTGCTCAACAGTCATTGTAATATTATATTTGAAATATAATATTACAATGACTTGATTGCATTGGAGCATGGTTCAAACCCAGGGACAGGCAGTTTGCTGTGATGTGTGATCACTTTGTTCATGGCCTGTGGGTCCCAGGAGCGAGCTCTGCAGTGGGGACTCATCACGTTGATGCTGGGACAGTGCCAAATAGATTTCAGACTTGAACTGAAAGTTGTAATATGACTGGAGGTGCGATCCACCCTTTTGATTTAACCTCGACAGGGCTGTTTTTCTATTCTTGAGCTGACCAAAAGTGATTTTCAAAAGTTGAAAAGGTACAGTGCAAAATAATAGATGTTATTTTCTG